ATAAAAACAATTTTGCAAAATAAGGTGGTATCCCAGCAGATCTCAACAAGGAGTTTGAGCAAGGAAGCCACACCTAAAGTTTTAAAAGCATTATATTTTATAGTTCCCTATCCCGACGCCCCTCCATGCCCCTCCTACATCGCAGCCAGTGACCGATCACAGCTAATCCAAAGCGCCTTTTAGAAAGAACATCATCTCTTTCTCTAAGTACATGTTCATCAACACCTCCCTATAACTACCCATAAAATATTTTGCAAACATGGCTCTTTCTTATCTCTATTGCCTTGGCATTAAAGAGTGGGTCTCTTTCTAACGGGCCTCAAACAAAAGAAGATCTATTCTAACACAACATTGTTACACATTGGTATGCTTTCAGAATGTTCTCCAATTATCTTAAAGCAGAATAATGTCTAACAAATTTACCAGAGTAGGAGAGCTGGAAGGGATCCTGCAGGTCATCCAGTCCAACCCCCTGAGCAAAACTGAATCTTCACTTATATGCATTTCTAACCTATATACCTACATACTATTTTATTTTTGAATTTTCTCATATCCTACACTAAGCATATCTGACAGCTTAAATACTCAAAGGGCAACTTGCAATATAACCAAGGGTGAATATCATATTTCTGATTTTGAGCAAACTATTGAACTCTTTCCTCCTTCTGCTGTTGCTCCGTTGATGTTGGATATTCATTTCAGCTCTGTAGTTTAGCCTGGCAGGTTTTGTAACCTATTAAAACCAAAATGCAATAAGCACCAAATTAGTAAACCCAGCTGTAAAAGTTAAATGACTGAGGAGTCCAAGGGTTCTTTAGAAATAACATGTTAATGATTACTTGGGAAAGGAATCTGGGATTTCACCAGCCTGGCACACAGAATGGAATGGACCAAATTAGACATGAAGTTAAGTGGAAGGATGCAATTAATATTCTTTTTTAAAAAAATATAATATAGGCGAGTTGGATGTCCCTAGACATATGGAAAGGGAGAGATGAGTCCTTCCACATCTGCCAAATAGCTCAACAAAAATTTAAATCCATTCCCAAGCAGCTGTCTGCATTTGAAGGGATGACTCCATTGAAACTAAATTGAAATTTAGCTTGCATTATATAATTAAATAATTTCTCATGTATACTATCTACACTTCAAGTTGTTTCAGTCCCAGATTTCTTGAAAAATTCATTTTTCAAGAGTCATTTGAAGTTTGATTGAATGAAGTAAGGAATAACATATTTCAAGAGAGACTGGATGCCAGGAGCCCATTTCATAGATGGACACTTTCCTGAAGAATGAGATGTTTCATCTATGCAGAGTTTCTAAGACAGGGATATCAAACTAAGGCCTGGAGGCTGCATCCAGCCCATGGGGTACTTAGATCTGGCCTCCGGGGCTGCCTTGGAAAGAGCAAAGGACCGGCCTGCAGTGCTTCTGCCAGCGAAAATAGGCTCCCGAGTTCCATTTTCGGCTGCCACAGCCTCCTCTGCCAGTGAAACTCAGCCCTCCCGAGCTCCATTTTCACTGACAGAGGGTTGCAGGAGACTGTGGCAGCCGAAAATGGAGCTTGAGACCCTATTTTCGCTGGCAGAAGCACTGCGGGCCAGCACAGTCCCCCCTGACAGTAGTGACGTTAAGCTGGCCACAACATGCCACCCTGGCCAAGCCCACCCCAGCCCCCCAAGGTCAAACACAACCCTGATGCAGCCCTCAATGAAATCAAGTTTGACACTCCTGTTCTAAGGAGTGCAATCTAGACACCCTCCTTACCCCAGCACCAAGAGACTTAATTGTGTGTTGAAGATAGATCCCCACAACAGAATCCTCAGCTCCTGCCAACCTGCTGCTGAAACTAGATCAAAGTGATCTGGCAAGAAAGGATTTTTTTTTATTATCAGAAAACACAGCACAATCTCCTATGCAAACATTCTGATCTGCACAGCAGTGTCAAAGGAAGATCAAAACCTTCATAGTTCTAGCTGAGCCAGTGTAGGACTGTCCCCTCCCATTCAGCCATGAGGATTTGTACCTCTGGGACCATTTCTGCTTTCGCTGCCAGAGAGATCAGAAGCTCCTTGGCAACCAAAGTTTGCTTTGTTTCTTTTAGGCTTAGGTAGGAATAGCAATCTTCAAGAAAATATTCCAAAAGTTTATTGTTCCTACAACAGTAGCCTCCAGTTCAAGGAAGTCCAACAAGAAGCACAAACAGGAGCATTGGAACTATCTTTATTATAGGTAAAGGTTCCCCTCGCACATATGTGCTAGTCGTTCCCGACTCTAGGGGGCAGTGCTCATCTCCGTTTCAAAGCCGAAGAGCCAGTGCTGTATGAAGACGTCTCCGTGGTCGGAGACGCCTTCATGTGGTCATGTGGCTGGCATGACTAAATGCCAAAGGCTCACAGTACACTGCTACCTTCCCACCAAAGGTGGTCCCTATTTTTTCTACTTCCATTTTTTATGTGCTTTTGAACTGCTACGTTGGCAGAAGTTGGGACAAGTAATGGGAGTTCACCCCATTATGCAACACTAGGGATTCGAACCGCTGAACTGCTGATCTTTCGATTGACAAGCTCAGCGTCTTAGCCACTGAACCACCACGTCCCTATCTATATTATAGGGTTACATTAAACAGAATCTTGCAAGTGAAGTATTTCTCCCCTTCTTTCTTTCCATTCTCCAGAAAACTAGGCTGTGTTTTTTCTGAAATGCTTCCTATACTTTATCCCCACATACAGAATTGTTACCTAGGCTACAAATATTCCTCCTGTCTCCCAAGATCATTCCCATATGCGATCATACCTCCAGTTCTTGGATTTTCTTTCTGTTTCATCAGATGTTGAGCTTTCCTGAACAGGAGAAGGATCTTGGGAGATCCATCACCCTCTCTAATTCTCCCTGCACTTGTCCTTATCTTAATGCTTTCCCACATAGCAACCTCTAATAGCTACCACTCCATTCTTATCTGAGGACAGCAATTTTGCTAGTCTTGTTTTGGAGGCTGCAAGCTATGTGGGAGCAACTTTTCAAAACAGTGCAATTTTCTTAAGTTGTCAGAAGTTGCAGAGAAAAACCAAGGAAATGATGGTGTCCATGGAAGTTCAAACTGGTCAGAACAAAAAGCATATGTGATGTAGAACTGACTACCCAACAAACAATCATTTTATACTTCTAATCTTGTTGTTTTCTCAGCTCTTTGAAGCTCCTTCATAGCAATAGCAATAGCAATAGCTCTTAGATTTATATACTGCTTCACAGTGCTTTTACAGCCCTCTCTAAGTGGTTTACAGAGTCAGCATATTGCCCCCAACAATCTGGGTCCTCATTTTACCCACCTCGGAAGGCTGGAAGGCTGGTGAGATTCGATCTGCCAAATTGCAGGCAGCTGGCAGTCAGCAAAAGTAGCCTGCAGTACTGCATTCTAACCACTGCGCCACTACGGCTCTTCACATTTCTTTCATTCTGGAAGGGTGGAATGGCAACATTCTGAATCACGGGGCCACATAAGAATAAGGCATTAAGTCCAATATATAGATATGAGTTTCTTTTCCAATTTTTGTGAGTAGGATTGTCTAGTTGTTCATATCTCATACATGGTAGTCTAAAAATGAAGTGATGTGTCTCTCTTTCAGAAGCTTTTAGGACAAACATAGTTGCCAAAGCATGCATTAAGCTGAAGAAGGCAGGAAAGTATTAAAAACAGACTCAAACTGGTTCCTCTCCAATTCCCTAGAGCAGGGGTGTCAAACTCACAGCGTCACAGCGGCGTCATGTGATGTATCGGGACCTTTTCCCCCTTCACTAAACTGGGCGGGGGCGGGGTCAACATGTGACGCATCCGGCCCGCAGGCCATGAGTTTGACACCACTGCCCCATAGTATAAGAAAGAGAGAAGGAGAGAAACACAGAAAAACCTGCAAGATTCTATTATTGTAGACCAGAGGTGGGGAACTATGGCCTCTTTATGACTTGTGGACTTCAACTCCCAGAATTCTAGAGGCAGCCATGGACCAGGAATTCTGGGAGTTGAAATACATAAGTCAAAAACGGGCCATAATGCCCCACCCTGCTGTAGACAATCTAAAAGAAAGATAGTTTCGATCTTCCTATGAATGTTCCTATGGAGTCTGTTTCCTGATCCAGTCCATTCCAGAGGGCCGACAGCCCTGCATTTGTGGTTCTGAAATCTAAGATATGCATAGAGGAAATTACTCATTCATATACTCCTTTCTCCTTAGAGCAGCAAAAATGGATAAACTAGGTAGGTGTATGAACAGGAACCATGGAACAAAACAGCACTTTAATTTTGAAAAAGAGATTCTTCCATATCAACTTTTAATTGCATACTTGCTTATTTAATTGAATTTTATAGAGTACCCAGATAGTGCTAATTCTCCAATCCTCTTCAATTTTTCCAGCACAGAAAATGGCTAAGAAACAAAAATTAGATGTGTTTTTATGTTGGCTGTGCTAAGTCTCTCACCTGAAATATACATATAGAGTTAGGAACAGGTGGGGGATAGACAAGAGGGGCAAATGTTGACATGGATGTTGCAACATCTTCCTGCAAATGACACAAATTGGGTATACCTAACCTGATATCATGATGTCACTGAAGCAAGTTGACTATTGTGTTGGCATCATTATTCCCAGTTTGTCATTTTGATGTCACAGTTTGTAAATGATGACCGTGGAAGCACCTTACTCAGTCTTGGTTATTTTACAGTGACATTGCTCTGAGTATAAAAATGAATAGGGGCTTCATATATGCCATCTTGAATCCTTGGAATAAAGGCAGCACAATATAAGAATTATCAATTAATTAACTCAGCCCTAAAATATGAAAAGTAACAATCAAAGATTTATGTCTGATGGACAGATGATGGATTTTAACATAACATCTCAAGGTAGCTTGAACTGTAGGTAGCCTGCTTTTCTCTAGAAAGTAGCTGCCATGCAATCATTTGTTCCTATAATTTTTTTTCATAATTCAATTTCTTTTTTAGATCTCTCCATGGCTTGGCAAAGACTTTACACGAAGGACATATTATGTCGAGGGACAAGTTATATTTATTACTGAAAGATACAGTTCTGGGTCCAGAGCCCACAAATATTGTCTTGTTTCTTCAAGATACAGTAAGTATGACTCTGCTTATGTATATTAGAGCTTGTATAGGATACAACAACACGGCATCTCTCTAATAATCTCTACCACCTCTCTGTTTTTCAGCTTAGCATGGAATACTTCACACGATACAACAACTTCGGAAATGAGTCACCATTTCACAATGTTCAGGCAAGCATAATTATTCCATCTGGCATTTCCCAGCAGTTTTAAGAAATAAAACCAAATAGGCATGCTTAAAAGAAATGGCAGAAGGATCTTTTTAATTCCAGAAACAGGTTGAAAGCTCTTTCAAACTTGATAAGGAAAAATTTCTGTAATTCCATAGTATATGGAAGAACATTTGAAGTTATTCAGAATTTATAGTTCATTCTGCCTGTTGGTCCCAGGAATGGAAATTAGGGGTCAATCAAGGGTGGACTGCTGGGGGTTTACAGGGGTTCGGGAGAACCTCTAGCTAAGATTCTGTATGGTTCAGAGAACCCCCAAATCCCACTCCTGGCTGGCCCCTCCCACCCCACCCCACCCCACCCCTCCCAGGAGTCCCCACGTGGCAGGTAAGTTCAGGGCATGTGCAGAGGCTCAGGGAGGGTGAAAAACGGGTTTACCAGAAGTTCAGGGAGGGCCTCCGGAGCCTGGGGAGGCTGTTTTCGCCTTCCCAGAGGCTCAAGGAAAGCCTCCGGAACCCGGGGAGGGCAACACCCCCCCCCCACCGTGGTACAGGAGGCTAACTAGCCATACCCACCAAGGCCACACCCACCAAGCAACTGGGCAGAGAACCCCTTGCTAAAATTTTTGAAGCCCACCCCTAGGGTCAACCCATTCTCAGTTCCTTTAGTGATTTTCTCAAAGTCCAATTATGAATACAAGTCAAAATATAAACCCTACAATGCTTTCAGAAGTTGTTTTCTGAAGGAGGTTCTTTTAAATCTAAGAAGTTCTTTTTCCTGGTAAAGTTCTTTTTTATACATATATATTAAAATTTCAGAAAACATTTCCCATTTTGATTCTTTAAAATGAAATCTATAGTTGAGTACTCTTGATTAATATTAATTACTTAATGAATCTCCTATTATAACATGGTGGACCAAATAAAGAATAATAATGAATAATAAGAATACTGTTCCTGCAAAATGTTTGAGTGCTTGGTACCATAAGCATGCAGTTACATATGTTGTGATATGGATACTCATGGAAGTTAGCAATGTCTTGTCCAATTAAGTAGGGGTATATTAAGCCCTCTGGTATACATTTTCCACCCTATTTACAGTATTCATTGACATTAGCCATATTTAGTGATAGCTTATTTTAATGGCTAATTGGGGGAAGGAGCTATGCATTATTTATGTCCATTAAGCTGGAGAGTTCCTGCCCACAATGATTGATGTCACTTACATAATTACATGCTTGTACCAATGAGGTAAGCATAATTATTTACATAATACTTTCATTGTGCAAATGAAGTTAATCAAAACAGAAAAAGGATCAATTCAATGCCAATTCCATTCTATTGAAATCCTGTAAACTGAGGTTTCACAGTTCTTATGTCAGGAGTATGGGGCAGCCTACATAATACAAAGAAAAGAATGCATTTTTTTTTTGCAATAAGTAAACACTGGCTTTAAAAACATCACTAATGTTGTCAGATGTTGTAGCTGAGGATCAGTAGCTGTTTATGCAGCTATTCTTGCACTGATTTGATTTCTTTTTCCAAAAAAATTGGATATTAAAATTGAATAGCATCTCTCTGTATTGTGCTCCATTAATCAGTCAACAATACTTTGCCCTTTTGAATATTCTTTTTTTTAATAAGAAGATATTTATTTATTTATTTATTTATTTATTTATTTATTTATTTATTTATTTATTTATTTAAATTTTTATTCCGCCCTTCTCCTGCTGGACTCAGGGCGGTGAACAGCCAAGAATAAAAAACATCCAATACAAAATTTAAAATTATTAAAAAAAATTAAATAAATTTGGCCCAGATTTAAAACATCCCAACTAAAATCTGTTACAATTAAAATATCTAAGGGGGGGGGGTTTACGCCAGCCCAGCTTGGTGAAATAGAAAAGTTTTAAGGTCACAGTGAAAAGCACGGAGATCTGGTATCCTACGTATCTCCAGGGGCAGGTTGTTCCAGAGGGCAGGTGCTGCCACAGAGAAGGCCCTCCCCCTGGGGGTCGTCAGCCAACATTGCCTGGCTGATGGCATCCTGAGGAGTCCCTCTCTGTGGGAGCGAACTGGCCGGTGGGAGGGTATCGGTGGCAGAAGGCGGTCCCATAAGTACCCAGGCCCTGTGCCATGGAGTGCTTTAAAGGTGGTAACCAACACCTTGAAGCGTACCCAGAAGACCACTGGGAGCCAATGCAGCTCGTGCAGGAAGGGTGTCACATGGGAGCGGCCCATCGCTCCCATAATCCCCCGCGCGGCCGCATTCTGCACCAGTTGGAGCCTCTGGGTGCTCCTCAAAGGGACCCCAGTAGTCCAGGCGGGAAGTGATGAGAGCCTGAGTGACTGTGCGTAAGGAGTCCCGATCCAGAAAAGGACGCAACTGGTGAATCAGGCAAACCTGATGAAAAGCCCCCCTGGCCACGGCCGTCATATGCTCTTCTAAAGACAGCCGGGCATCCAGGAGGACGCCCAAGTTGCAAGCCCTCTCTGAGGGGGCCAGTAACTCGCCCCCAATAACCAGCAATGGCACCATCTGGCTATATCAGGACGCCGGAAGCCACAGCCACTCGGTCTTGGAAGGGTTGAGTTGAAGCCTGTTTCTCCCCATCCAGACCCGCACAGCCTCCAGGCACCAGGACATCACTTCAAGGGCATCATTGGGATGGCCTGGGGTGGAGTTGTACAGCTGAGTATCATCAGTGTACTGATGGAACTCCATCCGAAAACCACAGATGATCTCACCCAGCAGCTTCACATAAATATTGAACAGAAGGGGTGAGAGGACTGACCCCTGCAGTACCCCACAAACAAGGTGCCTCGGGGTCGACCGCCAACACCGACTGCGACCGGTCCGAGAGATAGGAGGAGAACCACCATAGGATGGTGCCCCCCACCCCTAACCTCTCTAACCGGCGCAGCATGATACCATGGTCAATGGTATCAAAAGCCGCTGAGAGATCTAACAGGACTAGGATAAACCCCTATCTCGAGCCCTCCAGAGATCATCCACCAACGCGACCAATACCGTTTCCGTGCTGTGCCCAGGCCTGAAGCCGGACTGGAATGGATCTAGATAGACAGCTTCATCCAGGTACTGAGGAAGCTGTCGCGCCACCACACTCTCAACAACCTTCGCCACAAAGCGAAGGTTGGAGACCGGACGATAGTTAGCCAAAACAGCCAGATCCAGAGAGGGCTTCTTGAGGAGGGGCCTCACCACCACCTCTTTCAAGGCAGACAGCAAGACACCCTCACTCAAAGAAGCGTTAATAATCCCCTGGAGCCAGCCTCGTGTAACCTCCCGGGAGGCCAGCACCAACCAGGAGGGACACGGGCCCAATAAACATGTGGTTGCGTTCAGCCGTCCCAGTATCCTGTCCACGTCCTCGGGAGCAACAGGATCAAACTCTTCCCAAATGACATTCTCAAGACTGGCCTCTATCATCCCGTCTGTACCTACCCAGTCAGAGACCAAGCCTTCCCGAATCTGAGTGATTTTGTCGTGCAGATACTGGAAAAAATCCTCAGCCTGACCTATAAGGGCTCCTCCCGCGCTCCCAGATGGAGGAGGGAGCGGGTCACCCTAAACAGGGCGGCTGGGCGGTTATCTGCCGATGCGATAAGAGCGGAAAAATAGTTACATTTTGCCGCTTTTATTGCCACTAGGTAAGTCTTAATATGAGATCTTACCAGTGTTCGGTCAGATTCGGAACGGCTAGACCTCCAGCTGCTTTCCAGGCATCTTCTCCGGTGCTTCATCTCCCTCAGCTCCTGATACTGATTACAGTATCAAAGCAATTTACTAAATTACAATCACTGTATGCTAAATACTTCAGAATTATAGATGGATTCAGGGACACTGGTAAATCCCATGATTGACCCAACCATTTGGCAGTTGTCTTATACAGCTGATCCTGAGAAGTGACAGCTGGATTTTGGAGGAAAAAAAATTGGTCATAAAGTAGGTGAAGGCCCTGTCCCAATGACAATATTGAAGAAAGATTCATATATGTTTTCCTATTCACTTTATGAAAGGAGAGGACAAATGTGCATTACTCATTTGTTCACTATTTTTACCTGGAAGCAATAATTATGAAAAGGAGTAGATATTGCTAGTTTTTCTCTTGCCCATGTCCAGTTACATGGTGATCATTGCTCTTGCCTGCACACCACTTGGTGGTTTATAGATGGCAAACAAATGGATGAAATAAATTATTAAAAATAAGTGACAAGTGGTAAGCCACTGAAACATGTATCTGTCTGTATAGGTCAGTTCTTGCATTTTGCCAATGCCAAAGGTATAATGTCCTGGCTCTGTGCCTTATATAGTAATTGATCTTGTTCAAAAGAAAATATATATTTGGGTAATATTTTTAATCCATTCAGTTACATAATTTTCCCTGAAGTTGAATAAAGAGATTTGTACAAAAATATGTTACAGTTTAAGAATCAGATAGTACATAGATGATGTTAAAAAATATATAAATAAAATATTTGAGAACAGTAGCAATGCTAATTATCAGCTAGTTTATCATGAGGATGCTCCCAACAGCTATTGCCTAAGAGGGAACAGATGGTTTTTAGATTTACTTTTAGCAAATGATGTTAATGACTGTGTGTTCTAGAAAATGTATCTCAAATGATTTAATTGGCTTCCCTTTGGGTAGAAATAAGAGTCACTAATGTAGCACTGGATGTATAAATTGGCTCAAGAATTGATAAATGTTCTTATTAGCATCTAAACATTTGCTTGCTAAATTTGATTAAACCCATATGATGATCATTATCATATGGAAGATAGGCTTAAAATACAGAAGGATCTTGACAGACTTGAAGATTGGGCGCAATCTAACAAAATGAAATTCAATGGAGAAAAAAGTAAGGTTCTACATTTAGGCAAGAAAAACAAAATGCACAGGTACAGTATATGCCACTGTACCTTGCTCAATAGTGGTGACTGTGAGAGGGATCTTGGAGTCCTAGTGGACAGTCACTTAAATATGAGCCAGCAGTGTGCTGCAGCTGTCAAAAAAGCCAATATATTTCTAGGCTGCATCAAGACGGATAGAACCATGATCACATGAAGTGTTAATACCACTTTATAATGCCTTGGTAAGGCCACATTTGGAATACTGCATTCAATTTTGGTCACCATGATGTAAAAAAGATGTGGAGACTCTACAAAGAGTGCAGAGAAGAGCAACAAAGATGATTAGGGGACTCGAGGATAAAACATATAAAGAATGGTTGCTGGAACTGGATATGTCTAGCCTTATGAAAAGAAGGACTAGGAGTGACATGATAGCAGTGTTCCGATATCTCAGGGGTTACCACAAAGAAGAGGGAGTCAAATTATTCTCCAAAGCACTTGAGGGTAGAACAAGAAGCAATGGGTGGAAACTAATCAAGGAGAGAAGCAACCTAGAATTAAGGAGAAATTTCCTGACAGTTAGAACAATTAATCAGTGGAACAACTTGCCTTCTGAAGTTGTAAATGTTTCAACACTGGAAGTTTTAAAGAAGAGATTAGATAACAATTTGTCTGAAGTGGTGTAGGATTTCCTGCCTAAGAAGGGGGTTGGACTAGAAGACCTCCAAGGTCCCTTCAACTCTGTTATTCTGTTCTGTTCTGTTATTATGATGTAGATAGGCAGATTGATTCATATTTTCTCTGCTGAATTTTAACAGGAGAGATAACACAGCTCTTGTTTTCCAAATGGTAGGGGAAAACCAAAAAACCTGGAGTGGCTTGTCAGAGCTGAAAAAAAAAAATACAGTAAAGCAACAAGAGAAAATTACCATTAAAATCTAGCAGGGGGTTAGAATAAATCAGCATTCAACGAGTCAGTTCACTTTTAAAAATAAGAATCAAATTAAAAGAAAAAAATACTTTGAAAAGTGCAGTTGAAAGCCAAGGTTTGTTTAAAAATAGAAACAGCTGAGAGGAAAGATGGAGACTGGGACTCTCTGATTGCCACACCAGGAATTACAACCTCAAGGATTCCTCTTCTCAGGAGTGCCCACAGTTGTCAAAGAGTCGTCTTGGGTCATTCCTAGATGCTCCCATTTAATTTAGGGAGCTGGGTGCCAAGGAACCCACTTTGGCAACAAAACCAGCTGTTCATTGGCAGGAGAAGCAAATCCCTCCTACTGCTCAGCATGCTATCTTGAAGGGAACATTTCTGTTGATTTAAATAAAATAAACTCTCATTTTTCCATAATGAAATTAATCCAAATTTTGACTTGCACAGAACTGATTTCATATTGGAAAGAAGAAATTCAGCAGAGATGCCTTTTTGAGGCCAATGTTTGGCAAAATCATAAGTAAAAATGAACATTTTCTAATACCACTTTGCATTCCAGCCAAAATTTATCAATTTCTATTATTATTATTATTATTATTATTATTATTATTATTATTATTATTATTTATTGGTTAATCTTTAGTGAGATTCACAGCCTTTGAGGCTGGTTAATAGCTCAGCAGCTCGAGTCCTAACCAAGGACCTAGGAACTGTTAAGGTATCGTCGGAGGATGTAAGCTGTTCCGAGTAAGGTGGTTTTTTGTAGAGTCAAAATGTTCAAGTCCGGCAAATTTAGAATTTCTAAATAGCGGGGTAGCCCTTTGGGTATTGCTCCGAGGGCTCCAATTACAATCGGGACAACACACGATTTCTTTTTCCACAGTCGCTCAACTTCAATTTGTAAGTCCCGGTACTTTGTGATTTTTTCTTGCTGCTTATCTTCAATTCGTGCATCACCAGGTATTGCAATGTCAATGAACCATACTTTTTTCTTTTCAACTATTGTTATGTCAGGTGTGTTGTGGACCAAGTGCCTGTCAGTCTGAATCCTAAAGTCCCACAAGATCTTGAGTTTCTCATTCTCTAAAACTTTCTCAACCTGATGTTCCCAGTGGTTTTTGCTGTACTCAAATCCAAACTTCTGGCACAATTTCCAGTGAATGATTTTAGCAACACGGTCATGGCGTTGTAGGTAGTCAGTTTGTGAAATTTTGCTGCGAAAATTATTATTATTATTATTATTATTATTATTATTATTATTAATTTTATTTGTCAAGTATGTATTAGATAATATATATAAGTATAAGCATGAATTGAATACATAAAATGAATACAAATAAAGGGAACATTAGGACAGGGATGGTAGGCACGCTGGTGCTTTTATGCACGCTCCTTACAGACCTCTTAAGAATGGGGTGAGGTCAACAGTAGCCATTCTAAGGTTAAAATTTGGGGGGTTTGGGGATGAAACCACAGAGTCAGGTAGTGCATTCCAGGCATTGACCACTCTGTTGCTGAAGTCATATTTTCTGCAATCGAGTTTGGAGTGGTTTACTTTAAGTTTGTATCTGTTGTGTACTCATGTATTGTTGTGGTTGAAGCTGAAGTAGTCATTGACAGGTAGGACATTTTAGCAGATAATTGTACGAGCTACACTTAGGTCATACCGAAGGCAGCGTAGTTCTAAATTTTCTAAGCCCAGAATTTCAAGTCTGGTGACATAATGTATTTTGTTGCAAGCAGAGGAGTGGAGGACTCTTCTTGTGAAATATTTCTGGACACTCTCAGTTGTATTAATGACCGATATGCAGTGCGGGTTCCAGGCAGATGAGCTGTATTCAAGAATTGGTCTAGCAAATGTTTTGTATACTCTGGTTAGTAGTGTAATATTACTGGAGAAAAAGCTACGCAAGATAAGGTTTACAACTCTTAATGCCTTTTTGGCGATGTTGATACAGTGGGCTTTGGCACTTAGATCATTAGATATGAGTACTCCAAGGTCCTTGACAGAGTCAGGGTGATCTACAAGGTCGTGTCCACTCAGCTTGTATTTTGTGTTCTGATTCTTTCTGCCAATGTGTAAGACAGAGCATTTGTTGGTTGAGATTTGGAGTTGCCAATTGTTTGACCATTCCGACACAAAGTCAAGGTCTTTTTGAAGGGTAGCAGCATTGTCGGTGGTGTTAAATAGTTTTATATCATCGGCGAAGAGAACGCAGTTGCTTATAATATGATCACAAAGGTCATTTATGTATAGTATGAAGAGTGTTGGTCTTAGAACGCTGTCTTGGAGGACACCACTATTAACAGGTGCAGGATTTGATAGGGCGCTCCCTATTTTGACCACTTGTTATCTGTTTGACAAGAACACAGCTACCCAGTTGTGTAGGAATCTGGAGATGCTATAGGATTTTAGTTTTAGAAGTAGTTTGTCATGTACCACTGAATCAAAGGCTTTTCAGAAGTCAATGTAAATTTTATCTATTCCTGTTGTAGTGTTTTACATGCTGTATATTCTTTTCACCTTAAGCAGTATAGATGTGAAAATGATATGTGTTAATAACTGATTGTTCATAACTATGTACTTTCATAGAGAGTTGGCTATGACAGGATAAACTCATGTTTTGCAAAAAGTTCTGCAGATGGGAATATTCACAGAGTATAGTGAAAAACCTCAAGATGGCAACTGCAATAATATAGTTAAAATTCTGTGTTTGATGTGCATTGGCATCTTGACATTTTTCACCACAACCTCGAGACAGCCCTGGGAACAGAAAGTACTGTATAATTTTTAAATTTTGTTTCATTTATTTATCCTGCCTATATTATTTTTGTAAGGAATTCTAGGTGGCAAACATATCTAATACTCCTTCCTTCTCCTATTTTCCCCACAATAATAATCCTGTGAGGAGGGTTGGACTGAGAGTGACTGATCCCAAGTCATCAATCTGGCGTTCATATTTCTTGGCTATTTTCATTTTCATTCCTGTCTCCTTAAGAAGAGTAGCAATAGCAATAGCTTTCAGACTTACCATATTTTTCGGAGTATAAGATGCACCTGAGTATAAAACGCAGCTTAGTTTTTAGGGAGGAAAATAGGGGGGGAAAAATCTGCCTACCAGGTATTCATCTGGCTAGCGTCCTTAGTCTGGTCAGCTTCAGCACATTAGTTTGCTGGTTTTGAGTGCACGCTTTTTTATCCCCTGCTAAAGCACAACTGATCTTTGGAAAGAGAAGCAATGAGAAAAGCAGGCAAGCACAGAGATTGCTTCATTTGCTAGCACCTTGTTAGGGCTGAAAAAAAGCTTCTAAAGCACAGCTGAATCGGAGGGAGCAGGCAAAGCCTGAAGGGTCGCTTCTCTGGGAAAAAAAGCTTCTAAAGAACAGCTGAGAGTCGGAGGGAGCAGGCAAAGCACGGAAGATCGCTAGTGCCTCATTAGGGCTGAAAAAAAGCTTCGAAAAAGACACTTCTTATACTCTGAAAAATATGGTATATACCATTTCATAGTGCTTTACAGCCCTCTCTCTTTTACAGTGTCAGCATATTGTTCCCAAAAGTCTGGGTCATTTTACCGACCTAGGAAGGATGGAAGGCCGAGTCAACCTTGAGCCAAACATTTTGGCTCAAGGTTGACTTGGTTCGAACATTTCATTTAAGGGATAAGTGAAAAAAAAATTATCATTTACACATGTGAGCCGTTCACTCAGTGTTACAGTTTGGTCATCAAGTATGAGTATAGCCATGAATTTACTGGCAGGGCATTAGCAGCTCTCAAAAGATCCCATCTGTTACCATATTACATATCAATGCTTCTTACTTCTTGGTAGGTTGGTTGCAAAACAGCCGGTTTCATACCTACTTATTTCCAAAACATGTAAGACATTATCAATATTGAACTTTTTCCTTGTTGTTTTCCACAAGGTGATTTTCATTACTGGGTTGTTTGCGTAATGAAATTGCTTGTCAAATGCTTATTGAAGGTAATAGAATTTATTTTGCATAATGGAAACTATAAAAGACTGTAATCAAAGCTGATCAGAGTATAAAAAGCAATCACCCCCTTAAGGTCTTTAATTATCTACCTCATAATTAACTTCTATTTGTATTTACTGCAGGAGCTTCTTGAGACTTCATCATCTTCATTGGTTTTGCCAGCAGTTGACTGTCATGCTGTCAGTCATTTTTCAGGCCACCTCCAGAAGACTCTGAACTGGAACTTGGTAAATGTAGACAGCCCTGACATATCAAAGCTAAGAGTGAATATCTCCAGACCCAATTTATTTGAGATAAACCTACCACCAATCAGAAGGTATGAACTCTCATAAGGACTAGACATTTATTTTATTTATTTAATTTATTTTATTTATTTTATTTATTTTATTTATTTTATTTATTTTATTTATTTTATTTATTTTATTTATTTTATTTATTTTATTTATTTTATTCAATTTTTATACCGCCCTTCTCCCGAAGGACTCAGGGCGGTGTACAGCCAAGAATAAAACCCAGAACTATATGAAAGTTAAAAGACAATTTAAAAATATTAAATAATTTGGCCGAAAGAGTTAAAATAGAAACCACCCATTAAAATAGCATTTAGGCCAGCCCTGCTTGGTGAAACAATAGCGTTTTGAGGGTGCGGCGAAAGGTGCAAAGGTTCCATAAAGCAGCTGTGAAGTTTCTTAAATAGTAGGTCTTATGTAAGAATAATGTCAATTGAAAAGGAGTTATAATCAGTAATGTATTTTCCGTAGATACAGGAAGATCCAACAGCCAAAGATTCTCCTATATTATTTTGAGATGCACACAAGTCCTTCCAAATTTTAAAAGAATACATAGATGGAATGATGGGAGCAAACTTGTAAAGTATCAGAAGGGAGCATTCTGCTTCCCAATAGTGAGGAATATAATCATAGTGAAAGTGGGTTTCCTTGGTACAGGTAGTCCTTGACTTAAAACAATTCACTTAGTGACCATTTGAAGGTACAATGGCACTGAAAAAGTGACATGACCATTTTTCACACTTATGACCATTGTAACATCTCCATGGTCATGTGATTTACATTCGGTTGCTTGACAACTGACTTACATTTATGATAGTTATAGTATCCCATGGTCATGTAAACACCTTTTGCAATCTTCTGACAAGCAAAGTCAATAGGGAAACCAGATTCACTTAACAACTAATTTAACAACTGCTGTGATTCACTTAACAAATGTGGCAAGAAACGTCGTAAAATGGGGCAAAACTTTTTATTTATTTATTTATTTATTTATTTATTTATTTATTTAATTAGATTTTTATACCGCCCTTCTCCTACTGGACTCAGGGCAGTGAACAGCCAAGACTAAAAGCATCACATACAAAATTTAAGATTAATTTTAAAAGAATTAAACAAGTTTTGGCTCAATATAAAATTTAAAACACCCAACTAAAATCAATTAATAATTAAAAATGTCTAAGGGGTGGGGGGTCAAGCCAGCCCAGCTTGATGAAATAAAAAAGTTTTAAGGGCATGGCGAAAAGAACAGAGATCTGGGATCCTACGTATCTCCAGGGACAGGTTGTTCCAAAGGAAAGGTGCTGCCACAGAGAAGGCCCTCCCCCTGGGGGTCGCCAGCTGACATTGCCTGGCTGACAGCACCCTGAGGAGTCCCTCTCTGTGGGAGCGTACTGGCTGGTGGGAGGCTATCGGTGGCAGAAGGCGGTCCCGTAAGTACCCAGGCCCTAAGCCATGGAGCGCTTTAAAGGTGGTAACTTGAAGCGCACCCAGAAGACCACCGGGAGCCAATGCAGCTTGCTCAGGAGAGGTGTCACATGGGAGCACCCCATCGCTCCCATAATCCCCCGTGCGGCCGCATTCTGCACCAGTTGGAGCCTCCGGATGCTCCTCAAGGGGAGCCCCATGTAGAGAGCATTGCAGTAGTCCAGGCGGGAAGTGATGAGAGCCTGAGTGACTGTGTGTAAGGAGTCCTGATCCAGAAAGGGACGCAACTGGTAATCAGGCGAACCTGATAAAAAGCCCCCCTGGCCACAGCCATCATATGCTCTTCTAAAGACAGCCGTGCATCCAGGAGGACGCCCAAGTTGCGAGCCCTCTCCATGGGGGCCAGTAACTCGCCCCCAATAGCCAGCAATGACACCTTCTGGCTATTTCGGGACGCCAGAAGCCACAGCCATTCGGTCTTGGAAGGGTTGAGTCAGAGCCTATTTCTCCCCATCCAGACCCGCACGGCCTCCAGGCACTGGGACATCACTTCAAGGGCATCATTGGGATGGCCTGGGGTCGAGATGTACAGCTGGGTATCATCAGCGTACTGATGGAACTCCAGCCCAAAACCACAGGTGATCTGACCCAGCGGCTTCACATAAATGTTGAACAGGAGGGGTGAGAGGACCAACTCCTGTGGCACCCCACAGACAAGGTGCCTCGGGGTCGACCTCTGCCCTCCTGCCAACACCGACTGTGATCGGTCCGAGAGATAGGAGGAGAACCACTGTAAAACGGTGCCCCCCACCCCCAGCCCCTCCAACTAGTGCAGCGTGATACTATGGTCGATGGTATCAAAAGCCGCTGAGAGATGTAACAGGTCTAGGATAAACCCCTATCCCAAGCCCTCCAGAGATCATCCACCAATGCGACCAATGCCGTTTCTGTGCTGTGCCCAGGCCTGAAGCCAGACTGGAGCGGATCTAGATAGACAGCTTCATCCAGGCACCGCGGAAGCTGTCACGCCACCACACTCTCAACAACCTTCACCACAAAGCGAAGGTTGGAGACTGGACGGTAGTTAGCCAAAACAGCCGGATCCAGGGAGGGCTTCTTAAGGAGGGGCCTCACCACTGCCTCTTTCAAGGCAGAAGGCAAGACACCCTCACTCAGAGAAGCGTTAATAATCCCCTGGAGCCAGCCTCGTGTAACCTCCCGGGAGGCCAGCACCAACCAGGAGGGACACGGGTCCAATAAGCATGTGGTCGCATTCAGCCATCCCAGAATCCTGTCCATGTCCTCGGGAGCCACAGGGTCAAACTCCTCCCAAATGACATTCTGAAGACCTGCCTCCATCATCCCACCTGTACCTACCCAGTCAGAGACCAAGCCTTCCCGAATCTGAGTGATTTTATCATGCAGATATTGCACACAATCCTCAGCCTGACCCTGCAAGGGATCCTCCCGCGCTCCCAGATGGAGAAGGGAGTGGGTCACTCTAAACAGGGTGACTGGGCAGTTATCTGCAGATGCGACAAGAGCGGAAAAATAGTTACATTTTGCCCGTTTTATCGCCACTAGGTAGGTCTTAATATGAGACCTCACCAGTGTTCGGTCAGATTCGGAACGGCTGGTCCTCCAACCACTCTCCAGGTGTCTTTTCCGGTGCTTCATCTCTCTCAGCTCCTCAGAGAACCAAGGAGCCAGGTAAACTCGGCAATGGGTCAGAGGCCGCAAAGGCAAGACTCGGTCCAAAGCGCCAGCGGCTGCCCTGTCCCAGGCAGCCACCAGCTCTTCAGCCGAGCCATGAGTCAGAGCCTCAGGAAATGGCCCAAGCTCTGTCTGGAACCTATCAGGATCCATCAGGCACCTGGGGCAGAACCACCTAGTCTGTTCCGCCTCCTTGCGGTGGGGTGTGGTGGTTAGAAAGTCAAGCCTAAGAAGGGAATGATCTGACCATGACAAGGGCTCAGTCACTATCTCCCCTATCTCAAGATCATTCATCCACTGACCAGAGACAAAAATCAAGTCCAGAGTGTGTCCTCCCATGTGAATGGGTCCATGAATTAATTGGGTCAGTTCCATGGCCGTCATGGAAGCCATGAACTCCTGGGCCGCCTCAGATGCTTTGCTGACAAATGGCAAGTTGAAGTCCCCCATGACCATAAGCCTGGGGGTCTCCACCACCACTTCAGCAATCACGTTGAGCAGCTCGGGCAGGGCTGCCGACACGTGGTAGGTAGCCAGGTACGTGATCAGCAAGCCCATCTGCCTCCCATGTCCCCACTTCACAAGGAGTGGGGTCACATCCAGCTATCTGAGGTACAGTGGCCTCTCTTGGAACAAGTCCTTCCTTTACAAGAACCGTCACTCCCCCGCCCCTCCCCTGGGACCTCAGCTGATGGAATGCATAGAAACCTGGTGGGCACATCTCAACAAGGGGAACCCCCCCTCCTGGCCCAACCAGGTCTCCATAATACCCACCAGGTCTGACCCCCCCGCCTCCTGAACCAGATCACAAATGAGGGGGGCTTTATTTACCAGGGACCTGGTGTTGCACAACATCAACCGAAGGCCCGGGGCCTGAGGGCCTGCACAACCCGGGGAACGAGAAGAGCATTGAGGGCTGGGGCATGCTACCGCTCACAAACAGCGGGGGCGTGCCCCCATGACAGGATATGGCCCCCTGCTCCCACCATATCTGCTCCTCCCACCCACAGTTCTGATGAAAAAACCCTCATTGGTATAAACTCTAGCCCCCTCTTCGACCCCCAATCCTGCACCCTCTAAGCCGTGCCCACCCAGCCCGACCAAACTCCCCCCCGTGGGTTTACCCCCAAACCCGACAAACAACCTCCCCCCTCCCAGACCCTCTTAAAATACGAGATAAAAATTTAGCTAAAAAAACCCACAACCCACTCCTCACTGCATGCCACCTTTCTGGGTTCCAAAACCCTTCATCGAGGTAGGCCCTCGATAGCGTAGAGGGTCAAATCTGCGAGAGGGGGGAATCTCGCAGACCAAGAAGTTCAGTCCTAGAGTACATCTGAGGGACTTTACAAATTTAACAAATTTCTCACTTGGCAACATAAATTTTGGGCTCAATTGTGGTTGTAAGTTGAGGAGTACTTGTACATGAAATCCTAACACATCTGGAAAGAACCAACTTGAAGAAACAGCTCCAGATTTTATGCTTACACTAAAAAATCCTGAAATGGTTTATGTAGGATACATTGGACGCATTGAATGGATCTATTTATCTCAAATAGAAATTTCTCTCTCATTTGGTTTCTTTTTTGCCATGATCTCTCATTTTAGGCTGTTCTATAGGTGTTGTCAGCAATCTTATTAGGTAAAAATCTTCCAACTGAAGCCTAAGTTATTAAGACTGGCAAAAACCTGATTATCTGTCTTATTCAATAAAAACTGTTCTGCTGTCAGTTTATTTTTAACCAGTTTTCCTTTTCTTTCTGAAAGAGCAAATTACTGCCCAAACATTTGATCCCTTAGGGAGGAAATAATCGTAAATAAAAAACGCAAACTAGACATGGCATGTTTACCTGGGTGCATTTCTATCATATTGTTGCTGTTGCTGTTATTGTAGCCATCGTCATCATCATCATCATCATATCATTTTGAAATATTGTCCATCAGGTGAAGGTTTAACTCACTCTTATCTTTATGCTATTATGCGGGGCTAATTATTCTCCATTTTGCAGACGCAATGCAAGTCACTGGAATACATAAGCCATCATATGACATTTTAAATGATACTAAAGTTGTTTTAATATTGCACAAAGCAGGCCTAGCTTCTGAGACATATTAAAAATTGTGTTTAGTTTTTATATTCATAACTGTCAGCACTTTCTACCCAAAATAATGTTCCTTTAATGGATCCCCTATTTATATCAGGACTAAATCATTTGTCAAAACATTCACTGATAATGATAAATACAACATGATATCTTTGCTACAATATTTCAATATGAAACCATATGTTTTATGTTTCCTCTTGAAAGTATATTAAATATTTTTTTAAGTGAAATGTTTTTTAAATGCAAAACGTTTACAAGTATTAGTTACTTGTGCAATATTTTCATTTTCCTTTCAATATTATTTCATGCAGAAAAGATGAACTTCCCACTCAAAACAAGCTCATGGAAAATGGTAGGTGATTAAATAAACATACCTGCAAAGAATAAATGAGAAAGAACTTTGACAAGGGATGAGATGATCAGTAAATGTAAAAGGAAAAATAGCTGTTTGTTGTGCTGGATAAGAATATTTTTATTTTTTTAAAATTTTAATTTACATATTTGTGTTATACCTGCCTAACTGCTCTCTGGAAGACTCAAGAAAACTAATAAAATGTAACAACAACAGCAGAATATAAAAAGTAAAGCTACAAATCAAAACCAACAATGCATATGCCAAAGGTATCCATTATGGCAGTGTTTCTCAACCTTGGTAGCTTGAAGATGGGTGGACTTCAACTCCCAGAATCCCCCAGCCAGCGCTGCTGGCTGGGGGATTCTGGGAGTTGAAGTCCACTCATCTTCAAGCTACCAAGGTTGAGAAACACTGCATTATGGGATTTCAGCTTGCATATAAATGAATATCCCTTCTTTTGGTTCAAGTTACACTGCTTTATTTGAGAGCTTTGCCCAATCTTTTGGTAAATCAGCACATTTACCAAAGTTGATAGCCCTTCTTTCCAAGAACAAGTGTGAAGAATAACAGCTTTATTGGTGTGGGCAATCGTATAGTGACCACAGATAGTTTGAAGTTATAGTGGCATTGAAAAAAGTGACCTACAATTTGTCCTTGTTTGGTATTTATGACACTCGCACCATCCCAGGGTCATGTGATTGCCATTTGCAGCCTTCTCAGCTGGCTTCCAACTAGCAAAATCAACAGGAAAAGCCAGATTTGCTTAACAATTGCATAGTTCCCTTAACTGCAATGATTTGCTTAACAACCATTGCAAAAAAAAGGCTGTAAAATAGGGCATGTAACAACTGCTCTGCTTAGCAACACAAATCCTGATCCCAATAGTGGTCATAAATCAACGACTACAGTTAACATTTAAGAAGATCCTGAAGGCTTTAACAAGCAGGGGGAGGTTTTTGTTTCTGTTTTCCTGGATTTTAGAAATATCCATTGTCTTTTGGAATATATTTTAAGCCTATTTGGGCCATATTCAGCAATGCTCATCTATTTCCTAATTCAAAATGGCAGAAAATGACTGTGCTAATTTTCAGCTGTTTTGGTCACAGTGAACTCTGGAACTAGAAAGATGTAACAGTAGGATGCGTAGTCTTGTGTACAATACAGTTTTATGTGTATACTGCATACGTCTGTGGTATTGTGATGGAATGGGCATCTGCAGCAGCAAAGGGGGAGAATTTTGCTAACTTAGAACTTTCCCAGAAGAAGACCTGGTCAAGAGTCTGCACAACCCTGAGCTGAATAAAATATTGGACTTGATTGGATCTCACTGTCTCATATGTGGGCCTGAGACTAAGAGTGGTCACTCCTCAATGATTTGAAATTATGATGGACCTCCCTGAAGTTCCAATGGACACCACTGCCACTACTTCATGGACATGTGACTGCATTTCGGCTGCTCAGTGACTTGCATTGATGGCTGTTTGCAGTGTTCCATGGCCATTTGACTGTGTTTTGTAGTGGTTTTGCCAAAAGTCAGTGCTTCCTTTTTTTTGGCAAAACTTGCCCATAGCGATCCTTTGGCTGACTTAACTACTGCAGTGTTTGCTTATTAACTGTGGTGATTGCTTTATGACCATCACATAAAAAGGTTGTAAAATTGGGTCAGTCTTGGGGGTCACTAGAGTTGTAACCATCATGACTTATGGCCATGATGGGCGGGCTCTATTACGGCCATAACTTGAGGACTACCTGTAATTTCCAATAATTTTCTTTGAAGTTCTTTGATAGCCCTGTTAGACTTCTCTTGAATCATTTCCACAATGCTTAATCTTTGGAATGATTTCTTGCATCTGATGATATGCAAAAAGTTTTAGGGCAAGCCAATGTTTCTCCCCTGTATTGCTAAATTTCCATTTAATTATGTAAAAATGAACTTTTAGAGATTAATAATAAGGGTACATATAATATATTTTTATGTAATATATGTAAGGGTACATATAATATATATATAGGGTAATAAATTTAACTATATTCCCAAATATGAATTTAATAGCATTAATAATAATATAAACTATTATTACATTGTTCTGTTTTACAGATGAAATAATTGGAAGGTTTCTCAGATCTTTGCAGCAACAAGGAATTCCATTTTTAGCCATTTATACAGCAAAGCAACCATCACAGGTCAGTATTTCTCAAAAACCTGAAATATAAAATGCCGTGCTGCAATTTAATTCATTTGGCCATTAGTGATGTACAAAATGATCTGTTGATATCCAATCATGATTGTGCGAAAATAACTGCAGTTAATCCCAGTGATTCCTGTGGAAGGAGAATTTTAAAAACCAATGTATCAATGATCAATGATCATATAATCAAAACCCCTCCCCTTTTATATATTGTTAATCATGTGACAAATGTAAAGGGACAGAGACCTCAAATCCTGAAGAAGTTTCTGATTACTTTAAATGAAGACTAGTTGACACAACAAAATCACTATACATCACTAATGGGGACATGGTTTAGTGAATTACTTTTTGCTGTAATGTATTTGTTTTTCACATTCCACAAGAGAACTGTGATTAAAATGGTATTGATTTAAAACAAAGGTTTAAAGCTTCAGCATTTTATTGCTTAAAAATATTGCCCCTCTTGTTAACAATCTGAAACTTGATGAACTCTATAAATGTGCCAGATTTCAAATCAATCTGATTAAAATGGCAACAGGTACAGCAAGTTCCGATTAGAGCACATAATATACTTCTGTCCAATAAAAACTATTAAAGTGTTTTATTAGAGGTTACTGTTGATGAAATCCTAAATTGTGCTTCTGAAGTTATTATTTCTCCCTGATTAAAGCTTGCAGCAGTTTCATTCTAGGAGTAAAATATTGTTCTCTGAAGGTGCTATCTAGAGGCCTTTATGTGTAATATCTTCTGATATGGTTTAGGAATGTCTCCTAATGAATATTATGTTAATGATAGCATAAATGAATGTTATGTTTGTGATAAAATGTGCAGTTGTGTCTCTTCTTTTTAATTCACCACCATTTATAGTGAGGAGCTGAACAATATTGGCAATGAATCAAAAGTAGTCAAGGCAGGGTCCGTGTACAGAGGGGGTGAGGCAAAGATGAGTGATGAAATACCTATTGTGACATTGTGATACAAACATATCATTTATATGTTTACATGCAACTTATACAAGTAGAAAAAGACAATGATTTCATTGCAATGCAATAATGCACATTTTGGCATCAACATGTGTAGGAAGAGATGCCAAGGGGATGGTGATTGCCTTGTGGACCACAGAACCCCAAGAAAGTGATGTTAGTGGATGATGATAATTCTGCCTTCCTGCCTAAAAATAACTTGTGCAGACAAAGCTTTACCTACCAGAACATGTCCGCTCTTTCAAACACAAGAATACTGTCTATTTTGTCTCTCTAATTGATTATTAATGTTGGGATGAAAGGATTGGTTTTGAGCTAAATCAGGGGTGTCAAACTCGTATCGTCATGGGGGCATCATGTGATGTATCGGGACTTTTCCCCCCTTCGCTAAACAAGGCGTGGGCGTGGCCATCACATGACACATCCGGGCTGCGGGCCGCGGGTTTCACAGCCCTGAGCTAAATGGTCAGACCTGGGACGCAGAATTTACATCTTTCCTTTCTGTCAATTTCATTTCTGTTAGTTATTCCCCAGTTGTAGAGATTAAAAAACAAAACAAATGATAGAAAGAAAAGATAGAAGCACTTTTTCGTGTGTGTGTGTGTGTGTGTGTGTGTGTGTGAGAGAGAGAGAGAGAGAGAGAGAGAGAGAGAGAGAGAGAGAGAGAGGGAGGGAGAGGGAGAGAGGGAGGGAGGGATCTCAAGTCAATTTTTGACTCCTGGAAATTGCCTGGACAAATCCTTGCAGTTTTCTTGGAAAGATTGTTCAGAAGATTGTCTTTTCCTAGGACAGAAAAAGAGTACTAAGTCCAAGGTCACCCAACTGGTTTTGTTTCTAAGGCGAGACTAGAACTTCTGGTCTCCCAGTTTCTAGCTTAACCACTATACCAAATTAGCTCTCTTCATTTATGGGTCAGTTGCTCAAATTAATGCTTGTTGTTTAATATATGCAGTTCATTTTGATTCCTGTTGTGGAATTATTCCTTAGATATACCATATAGGGCCCTGCAAAAAGTTAGATGAGCATTATATGTTGGATACAGAGATAAACAACTGTATTTCTTTAATGTCACCTATTGGTTGCCATTTATTCCTATTGATTAGTTTGAATCATATAATTTAAATGGAAGTGGCATTTTATTAAATGCCCATATAGTTATATAGCAGTGTCTCTGAGTCACTTATATTCAGGCTACCTTCTATTGGAAAGTCATCAAACTTAAAGAAGGGGGAAGAAACTATTGTATACAGTATTTCAGTCTTGCAGAAATTGAAGCAGGTACCACATTGCCTTTATTCACAGGGTCAATGGGACTGTGATGTTTCTCACTTCCTATCACACCAACCTCTCTTTTAGGGTTGTCTGATATTTTTTAAATAAGTCTATGTGTTTGCCTAAAATGAACCACGCTTGCTCAAGAAACAACTTCCTAGTCCCTCATTGTATCCACCTGAAGGCTGAGAGAAGCAAATTTGTACCTCTTCATTTTGAAGCAGTGCCAGAAAGTTCACTGTTGTCTTTGCTCAACAATTCAATTCCTCACTTTAATTGCTATTCATCCCTTCCTTTAAACATTAACATTTGCATTTTCCCCTTGCAAAGCTCAACTAGGTCTGGAACCTTTTGAAAGGGCAATCCTCTTGCTTTCTCAATATATTGCTAATGGAATACTTTTATCCTGTTCAGTGTGCTGAAAATCAGCATGTCTGATCAGGCAATGAATTATGGGTAAAAGAACTACTGCCAGTTCACCGAAGAAATAGAGGAACAGCCAATGGAGAACACCCCAAATCTTTGTGGAAGCTGACAGACCAACATTCCCTGTTATTACACTTAATTTTTGTGCTTTCATCAGTGATTTTTCTGCTTCACACACATATCGCACAAGGCCACAGCAGGAAAAAACAGAGATGGCCTAACAGTTGGCCTAATCTCATTTATGTAGTAGCTCTCGTTCCAAGTCTGGAAGAAAGGACTTCAGGTTAACCATATTTTCCAAGAGCAGAAGATAGCATTGAGGGGGCCACCACTCCCAATAACTAAGTTTCATAAGGCATCAGAAAACAGCATTTCTTCCAAGGTTCCAGGTTCATGTTGGATATGCCAACCATGTTTCCAGGTTCATGTTGAATATGCCAACAAACTGGCTAACTGTGTTCTATAGGAGTTGTCCACAGGTTTTAAAAAAGTAAAAATGGTAGCCATAATGATGTGGATGAAGCTCTGCCTGATTTTTATGTGCATTTTACACATAATAAACACTTTCAATCACACTATTGTAGCCACCATTTGACATTTTCAACCATAGCTGGTTTGATGTTAATGTGGCTGATTAAAAAAAAACTTGCACTTTTAAAATTGTAATGCTCTTCAAAATGCAAAATCTGTTGATCAACAAAAAAATAGTAAAGGATACCAAAACAGGCATTTTTGGTACCCTTCACTATCTTGTTTAATCCAGCCTACCAATGACTTAGTAACCAACTCAACAAGAAGATTCCTTCTAACAGTGTAGCTAATTTTAGGAGTTCCAAAAGACAGTGGAGAAATAGAATTTAAATATCTTTTTTGACTAAAGGTACTCCATGTTTCTCATCTGTATTATGGTTGGAGAGATCAAGGACAAATGGAGATGGACAGATGTAAAACTGCCAGTCAACACAACTGACAGGATGACAAGAAATGGGTTATATCTATTGAAACGTTAGTTTGAGCTTTCAATCTTCTGTCTTTGTGAAACTTGAACCAACATAACATTGACTTAGATTAGTAGATAATTTATTGTTGATTTTTAAGAATCATTACTGAATATTGTTAGTTCAATCCTGAGATAGTGAAATGGTTTATGGTAGAAGAAAAAAAAGAATTAAGGTTTTTAATGGAGTTTTGAAAAATGGGCTAATCTTCACATTTTGCTTTAGCAAGATATGGAAACTGACAGGAGGAAAGTAATAAGATGAGCTAGGGGATCTTTTTACTGACAAGGTTATCTGGCTGCTTTTAAATCAAGATAGATAGCTTATAATGTCCTCCAATAGCTGTATGGGAGATAGACTGCATCTAATTTGTTTAAATACTGGGAAGAGGATTGTTAATTTATTTCACAGTATTATATGGCCCTTTCCAAATGCTGACAGTAATTAACTAGGCAAACCTTCCCCAATCTTGTGCTTTCATAAGATGCACTCACAATGCATCTGGAAGGTAGGAAGTATAAGAAAATCACAATGAATACTGAAATCTTCAAAGTCACTGAATTATATCTTTTGCATTGGTGGGTAATACATGTGTACATTTCAAAAGGACTGAAGTTCATTTGGGACCTGCATTCAGTGGTGTGGAGTCAAAATAGCTGAGATTGATCTGGCCTGTAAAGTAATTGTTGCAATTGATCCGGGTGATTAAAAAGCCTGGCCTGATGCGGACAGCCTGATTGCTATAGAGAGGAAGGATTTTAAACAGATATATTAAAGAAAAGGCAGGGAAGATTATTTTGCTTTATGGATTCTGTTGTGTGATTCAAGCTGCTGTGATCAATGTGATTATCAATAGCCCCTTGGTATAGTTATTGAAATTTGAGCTATGTCATTTCACAATTAGTGTAGACCTTTCAAAGCAGGCTGGTCGTTCCCTTAATCGTTCTCTCTGTCTTAAATCTTCCTGTAAGTACAGTATTGCTTATATAATTTGGAATATGATACATATTTATAGGTGCTTGAGAGGTTTTAATAATTATTTTGGTGCCCTTGAGAAGCTTCATTTCCCTGAAGTTATTGTATAACTAACATTAAATGGCTGGAGGCATAGATATCTGTGACATTCATGATGTTATAAACGACGGGTGTCAAACTTAAGGCCTGCGGGCTGGATCTGACCCATGGGGTGCTTAGATCTGGCCCTCAGGACTGACCTGGAAAAGTGAAGGACTAGCTCATGGTGCCTCTGCCAGTGAAAACAGAGCATGGAAGGGCAGCAGGTGGTCCTCCCGATGTTGTGGCCCATCAGCGGCCTG